TGCTGCATGGTAAAGAACGTTAACCAAGCGTTTCAAAGCGGTTGAAAAGGGTATACAGCGATAAAGAAAAATTTTGCCCCCAGTACCACTCCGTCAGCTGGTGCGGCTTTGCCCGCAGGTTTCAGCCATACGGTTTATGGCACCTGACCGCACTGTAGCAGCGAATCGCGCAAGGTGAGAGGGTCGAGAAACAGGGTGTAATCAGTAGGGGTCGTTTGTATCGCTGTGTGGCGATTTAGAGTGCACCTTTGTCCATCCAGGTCGCTCTGGCGAGTCGATGACGAAGGGGTTACTTTGTCTAACGAATTGTTAATAAGAGCTAGAATGTACGCGCCAAGGGAGAAGGGGGGATTGGGGGTGATTGATCCAAGGGGGAGAATTGACAGTGTGGTTTTGCGGTGCGCGGGGCTGGCGCTGAAGCAGGAATGTTCGCTGAGACGGGGCTTGTCGGAGAAAGCGGCGGGCCTACCTCTTGGATGGGCGACGCTCTATGCGCACAAGGCGGTGCTGAAAGGGGGCCTGATTAAGAGCCGAAGGTGGGCGAGGCTGTGCAAAATAATCCTGAAATCAACAGTGGTGGGGGTACCAGAGGTGGCATCAAGGTGGGAAGCAGAAGGGGAGTTTTTGTGCTACAATAAGAGTATTATCCATCGTGGAAACGCCCCATTTGGTGGGCAGAAAGGCACGGAGAAACTACGAATGTGGCGTATGTGTGACATGGTACGAAGGAAATGGGACGGGACAAGGGCGGTTAAACCGGAGGTGTCGCTGGCTAGGGAGCTGGGGGGAAAAAAGGAAGCGGAGATGGCATTAAAGGCATTTAATGCGGCACCGGAGCAGTGGCGACAGTGGGTACTGGCGCCGTTAACGGCAGAAGAGGTTGCAGCTGAGGTGTCGATTCGCAAAGTGAAGAAGTTCCAGGCACGGAGGGTGCTTCGGAAGATAAATGTGGAATTCAACACGCACGCGAGAATCTACTGTGGCAAGCCGAGCAGGAAGGCGAAGAAGGATAAGGCGAGATGGAACTTGGCGGAGGACGAGGCACGTGTCATGCGGCGGATATGTGTCGATGAAGCGGTGGGCCTGAAGTGGCAGGGTAGGTTTCAATCTATCTAGTCGAACCCGAGAACCTTCGTGAAACCCCCGTAAAGCTGTGGGGAGGGCCAGGCGGAATCCCATCAGCCTGATCCCAGTCCATCAGTTACGACTGAAGTGTTTTGCTTGTACTGTATTGTGTAAGCTTTCACTTAATATATATATATATATAAGAGCTAGAATCGAAGTAACATTTCGTTACTGTTCGCATGCCCTGTGATTATAGTCGGGTTTATATATGATAACATTGTGGTACAGTGACTGTACTATATTCAACATCCAGAATTTTTAAAATATTAAATAGTGTGTTTTTGATAAATCGATTCATTAGCTTCAATTGTTCATAACAAGTATACGGCTCCAGAGCATTTGACAACACATTATTTCAGAGATGTATTATTATTAGGATTAGCATTGTAACCCTAGCAGTCATGTAATAACCACTCCAACCTCATGCTAAATAAAATACTCTTAGCATCCAATTTCCTAGGGTAAACCTGCAGGGAACACCTGAGACTCATAACCCTCAATCAATAGCTTCACGTTGGGGGACATCCTGAAGCCAGCAGGAGCAGCCGGGTCCCAGATCGCGGTGTCTCCGTTCTCGTATGTCTCCCTAATCCAGGTGACTAGGTGCCCGATCTTCACCTCGACATTCTGCTGGTTCACGGTCTCGGAACCGTTGAGTGCAGGGTTCACTCGCCCTCTGGCATTTGTCAGAGGCCATTCCACCTGCATAAAGAAAAGCAACCAAAATGAGTCTTCACGGACTGGCGGTTATGACCTTAAACCCTCCCCTGGAATAGCGACTCACTCACCACATTCAAGGCGTATCCAACTGCAGGGAACTTCACCATGATCGTTGTCGCCTTCTTGCTCCCAAAACCGCGCAGTAGGACGAGTTCGAATGCCCGGTTGGCAAACGGCCTACACGTTGCAGCGTTGAAGTGCCAGTTGGAACCAAAGCGTGCTGTTAAAACAAACAGGAAACGATGGTTACGAACAATACACGTTGCTGCAAAATAGAAAAGCATGGCATTTAAAGAGGCCTTAACAAACAGACGACGACACACGTACCATGAAGGTAGAACAGGGTCCACTCCGAAGGGGACCTGCTGCACTGCGGCGCCACTCCTTCGTCCGCCAACTCCTTCCATTTACTCTCTGGGACGCACCCGCCCGGGCCGCGACTGTAAGTCTTAATGTCGCCGTTGTAATTGCTCCGCCGCTCTGACGCCTTGCGCATGGCCAGGTTTTCCTTTCCAGGGAACATGCAGATGACATAGTAGAATATGTGCTTCCCCACGCCAGCTTCCGCGTACTTCTCTGCAATCATTTCTCTCAGCTCGGGCCACAAAGGGTAGAACTTCATCCTCCACGCAGGCGCGGCAGTCGTCATGAACGTGAAAGCCTCGAGCGCCTTTTTCTGCAGTCAGGGCATTCCGGGTGACAGTGTTAATAAAAAGAAAGACAGGGAGATGCGATTGCCTAAACATTATCAAACGATTACAGGAAGTATATCCTATCTCAAAACAGAACCGCGAACAAACTCACTGAAAACAAATGGTCTTGTTCAAGTGTTGTAGGGACCAAGATGCTGCCGTTCTGGTCACGTGGTAACTGCTGCAAGTCGAAAGACGGGATCAGCGCCAAGTTCAGGGTTTGCCTTTGCTCCTCGCCGTTGTTGATGATTTGCTGCCGAAGTGCAACGACTAGAGCGGACAACTCGTCGTAGCGCAGATTGAGCGCTACGTATGCAGCCTCCTTATCGTCCAGGGCGATTTGGAGGTCGAGGGCGCGCTCTTGTGTCAGCTTGAGCGTGGATTGCAGGTCTTCATTCTCAGCACGAAGACGAAGCTCTGCTTGTGTTCTCACCGAAGCAACTTCTGTTTGTGGAAGAAAAAAACAAGTGCAAGGTGCGGGATTAGACATCGGCAGGCATGGCGAGGAACAACATGACAATAAATGCATGTTGAGTTGCGGTTGAGCTTGAAACTATACTCGCCAAATACGAACCTTAGTTAAATAACAGGAAAGGGAGAAGACTAACGGGTTCATACCTGTGCGAGCCCGAGAGATAACTGGGAGGCCGTGAGCGTTAAGATGCTCCACGACCTCCGTGGCGCCTTCTGCTGCGTCTTCTAACGGCCCAGTCAGATTAAGGGCCGAGGGTAAAATTTCTGTTACGGTAGGTAGAGTAGCAGCCGCAGTGACTGGCGGAGCAGGGATAGGAATAGCTGTTCCACCGTTGTTACTCGTCTCTGCCATGCTGCCCTTTTTGGATTTCTTACGCAACAACTCGGCAGGCAGGATGCCCTGTGCCTTCATTGCTTGCATCCACTCGACGAGCTCCTGGAACTTCGCGACAGGTTCGTCGGAGTCGCTTTCGATCGCCGTGTCGTCCAGCATTGCACCATCTCGCCCGAGTGTAACCAGACCCGTTTGGTCGTCCGGTGCCAACAATCGTTTCCCGCCACAGGCTGTACCAACCACACCAGACATAACGACACGTTTGCGACTGACAAGAGTCGCAGACGATAGATGCGGCTGTTTATGGTTGGTGAATGGCTATTTTTTTCTCACGAGGTTTTGCCACGCATATGCCTCACCTGTTCCAGCTGGCAGATTACATTGACGGTGATTGGACGATTCCGTCCTATGCGAAAAGAGTGCGTCGTGGCACTGCGTCGCGCGTCAACGTGTTTACATGGTTTTGTTTTGGCAGCCACGGTATTTTACTGTTTCGCTGTCGGAAAATTTAGGTAGTAATGCATCCATGCCCGTATTTCCGCAGTTTTGCATGTTTCACGCATTTCGTTCATATGGGGATGATTTTTTCGGAAACATTTTTTTTTTCACGCGTAACTAGAGATTACCTAACCACAGGAAAATGATGAATGAATGCGTACTAAAAAACAAAAAGGGCTACGGGCCCATGGCGCGAACTGGTACATGCAGTCCCACAGTCCAACTCACACGCAACCCTATCGCACGCTAGCAGCTATATGCTGCGCGTCGCGTCCGGCACTCAATCCCATCCACCCACCATGGTGGTTCCTTTGTTGTCGCGTGCCACCTCAGCATGTCACAAATATATCCATTACAAACAACAATTTTCCTAACACGATCAATAGTGAAAGGAACGACTACATTACAATACAGGCCAGGGCTTCGTTTTGGATTTGGCTAACTCACGATTGGCAGTGTAGCTTTTTTAAAAACCCTTCTGAGCAGTGTGAACTTTTTCATTACACTGCCAGAGCAGTGTAACATATCCGTTTTAAAATTTTACCCTGCAACTCCAGTGTGAGATTTTTCCGCACACTGCCACTAATATGTACTTATTAGATTTAAATCAACTCACATACTTGACAATTTATTTATAATCATTCAATTACTTGCATACTCATCCTCGCTATCAGACTCTAAAACTGCCTTAGTTTCAGGAATGCACTAGTAAAAAAACATGTGAGTTCAGTACGAGTCAAACATTACGGTGAATGAGGGAATGGCATATACGCAGATAAGATATCCAAGAAAATGCCTTCCCAGGTCAGTAGCCAATGCAGACCAGCCAGCAGCACTGCAAACCGTAAACGGCTCTGGCACAGCGGAAAACATGGCGTCACTGGAGCAAACCAGGTATAGTTGCAGTAAAGTGGCCATTCAGCTGGTGGGACAAGTGGACAGCATCTAGCCAGTGCAAAGGAAGCCAAAGCGGTTGGCAAAGTTGTTCCCAACGCATTGCAGTCCGCTGCAGCGCCAGTCGGTGGGACACATGACAGGCGAGGCAGTGGCGCACAGAACATATGCAAGCACAAGCACGAGCACAGGTACAGGTGGGCGGGGCAAAGAGAGGGGAGAGTGAGGGGCGAGGGGAGGCATTGTAGAAGATGGCACGCCACTTACAGGTGTACCAATGGCAGCAGCACCCTGCCCTTGCGCACCCCACACTCACCAACACAAGCCAGCGGCAGCGTGGTGGCCCCAACAGCGTTGGGGGTGCCAGCCGCGAAGGGCGCAGAGGCGTCGACGGTACAGATGCCGCGGCCGTAGCACACCATGCCCTGCGCCGTGTCGGAGAGGCAGAAGCTGCACCCCATGCTGCGCTGCACCGTGCCCTTGGTGGTGCACCCGGTGACAGCCTGGAAGCAGTTGTTGTTGGCGCCGCATGATGTGGCGGAGTTGGTCGGGAAGGAGCCCGAGAGGAAGTTAAAGCCCACGTCGAAGTCCTTGAGCCCCGCCGCTAGTGGTGGCACGCGGTATGTGAGGTAGTTGTAGGACAGGCCGCTGGCAGGAGGGCAGAAGGAAAAAGGGGGTTGGGGGAGGGACGGATGGATGAGAGAAGGATGGAGGTGCCGTGAAGGCAACCTATTTGATGGCACAAGAGATGACATAGAAGCAGCGGTCAAAAGGGGTTGGCAGTTTGCTAAGGAGCAGACACGTGCATGGCAGCATGGAGGTGGCGCTTACAGGCGCGTGAGCTTGGGCATCACTAGTTTCGTCCTTTTAACATCAGCACCGACAATCTGAATGTGGTCCCACTCCCACGACTTAGTTCAGGCAGCAATACTGTAGTTGCTGCCAATGTGGGATTGCGTGTCGTGCTGGCAAGGGAATTATTCCTAACTGACCAATCGGACACATGACAGCGGCCAACGCAAGTACGGGGGGGGGGGGGGGAGGGGAAGGGGTGCTCTGTACGCACTTCAGTGTAATCTACGATAAGTAAAAAATTACCCCAAGGCATCCGTGTGGCCTAGAACGATACACTTACAGATTAGTGTAACACTACCAACTCATAAAAAAATTACCCCAGCACGTCAGTGTAGACCCAAAATTTCACCCTTGTAATCAGTGTAGAAGGGTAAATTACACTGCAAACCTGAGCCCTGATACAGGCCCCCGTTTTGCACTTTCATGCTTTCTTTCTAGATGAAGCCCTTACTAGGCCCTTAAGGATTTGTTGGTTGTGATCATGCAGCAAACATGACGACTTGTTTAAATTGTAGAATTGTGTTGTACGCAAAGCGATACGACATTGTCTATGCGTGTACTGCCTTAAGTTTCAACAGGTCAATCACTATGGTTTGAAGTGACAAAATGGAATATCCATTATTATCCTACGGGTTACTAGTTTAGAACATGAACTTATTAACTAGCCACACGTCCTCGCATGGCGCAGTCCGGACCAGCTCTACCGCCCGTAGGATACTGGTTACTGCAATGACACTATAGCGTTGCGACGAGTCAGCCCAAGTGAGAGTTGTGCACTTTGTAGCTATGTCTTTGGAGGGGGCTGAGTCATAGTACTTTATGAAAGCATATGGCACCAGCAATCTCCCAATGCGGACCTCAAACAGTATCAGCAACTTAGCATACCATTCGAGAGGCTCTGCATCGTCACCCTCCCCAACAACTGCGATGTTGGAGAACCATGGCCGACCATAGAACATCGGCGCAGCACGAACGTGATGAGGTAGGCGGCTAAATGCCGCATCGATTGCAGCTGGCATGGCCAGCCCGTTGTGGATCTGTGAGTGTAGTTATGTTGCAGGGGAAGGACGGGATAACTAGTATGTCAGAGAGAGAAGGAAGAGCGGTGAAAGAGGGATGAGATGCCACCATTTTGTATAGCAACAAAAGGGGGAAAGAGAGAGGAGGGGGATGAGGTGGTAGGTTCAAGGGATCATCTTACGTTGATGGTGTCGATGCTACCTCCCGAGCATGCAGGTGCCTCATTCAAAGCGCCGCGTAGGAAGGGAAGGTCCGCAAATAACGCCGTCAAGAACTCGCTATCTCGGTCAGCATCAGTTGTCAACGGCACCACGAAGGGTGCCACTAGCCGGTTGGCAGGGACCAACAGCCTCCAACTCTCTCGAGTCATCACCCTTTCACCCGTCCGTTGAGCCTGCAGGCATGACCGTGTATAATAGGAATGAGTGGTATATCTACGAGTTGGAAGGTGTATGACCAAGTCAGCTATGAATAAAGTAGGACTCACCTCAACCATGCACGTGTCGTAGGCTTTACGCTTGCCGAGAACTGGTGCAATGGAGTCCAGGCGCAGACGCATCACCTTACTATTCATGATCTGTGCAGTGGCCGTGCGTCGGTTCGATGCTCTGTAAGGGTTCTTGATGTACTCGATGTGCAGGTGCTCAAACATCTGCGTAGAGTAGTGCTCTGGCAAGCCAGCACGACGGATCGAGTCAATGTAGTGGCTAATCAGGTGCATCTTGATGAAGCGCCACTTTGACATCTGTAGAGGAAAGGCTGATTTTAGGGTGAAAATCAACCTGCCATACAATGGTGATGGTGGGGGAAAATATGTTTGAGCAGAAAGGCATTGGCTAGAATCCCATAGTGGTAGTCTTACGTGTGCAACAACATATTGCATGCATGCGCTGCATAGTATAGTAACACATGGACATACCTTTCGGCCTTGTGCTTCAAATCACGCAGCGTCTCTGTCGTATGCTCACTGGCGCGGGCACAGTAGGTGTACCAGTCAATGTAAGTTGCAATCGCGTCCAACTGCGCCTGAGGGACAGTCAACTCAAAGCCACGCACTAGAAAAGGAAGGACTTGCATGACACTCCTATGCTCATATGCCTGATAGCTCGCGCCTGAGGAGAAATACTCGCCCCCAGGCAGGCGCATGAACGGGTTGCGGTTGTGCTCCTGCAAGTAGGCCATTCTCTCGTCGGCCTCTTTTTTTTGAGCGATGGTGAGTTGTGTACGGAAAAAGTCAATGATGTGCACAAGAATTCCCAAATCTGCCTGGTGCATGATATCAGGCATGACACTCAAATAAGGGTTCAAAATAGGAATAGATGACCAACGCCAACCCCACAGAAAACAATTCACCGGATGTGTTGACATGCTTGACACGCCTTTCGGAAACAACCGCATTTGCAAAAGCGAGGTAATGCCCTTTTGCAAATGTGGAGTACGAGGGACAATGCGAGGCAATAGTTTGTTGGTCTCAGCAACAGGGACTGTGCACAACGAGCATGGGAAGCCTGTGGCCCCCGATTTTGTGCAAGTCACCTTGCACGACTCCGGATAGTCACATGCGTATGCGTACAAACCAGGCCACACGTTGTACGTGGCACCAGTAGGGTCCTGGACTCTCACTCCGGTGTGTGAGGCCTTTCGCAATGGTTCCATGACCATTGAAAGGATGTGTTGGAAAACAATCAACTTGTCTAGCGAATCGTACTGAGGCGTGAATTCAGGTAGCAAAGCAAGCAGTACATGGCCCCATGGCTTCCAACGGTCATGCTTGTCGATGTTTCCTAGTGTCAGGTACACTGGATGACCCTTGGCCTTGCCTCTTTGGTCCATATGTGTCTCGTCGCTCGACAATATCAGAGCAACCACGACCCCGTCCGGGTCCACTTTTTTGACCTCATTGTGCAAAGTAAACCACCAATCCCCGGATTCGGGTGATGAGTACACATGTGTCTCACCGGGGATGCGCGAAGTGGGTTTGAGAACGAGTTTGTCCGCATTCTTTGGATGTGTCAAAAGGTCAATCATCCCAATGACACCATCGCAAAAAAAGAACTCTAACGAAGCTTTTGACTGTACGCGCACAAGACCTCGTCTCCAGTTACGGTGAGGATCTGGGATGCGTTCATCGACGTATTTTTCAACGTCTCGCGCATTTCTGAAAACGACAACGTCGTCATTGAACTTTGAACCAAGGTTCAAGATGAGGAGCAACTTATCAATAGCACTTTTGGACAGATTGGAGGTAAGGAGGAAATGAGCGAATGCATCTGCAAAATTGAATGTGTCGCTCTCACCTACTGATGCCGCCCCACCATCCCCTACGCCATCAGCTTCAGCCCTCTCCTCTGTGTGGGTTTCGGGCTCAGGAATGGTGGGACTTGAATTAGGAGGAGGAGGTTGCGGGGTGTCAGGCATGGGTGCAGTTGCTGTGGGTATGTTCAACATAGGCCGTGGCATGGTAGCTTGCGTGGTGCGTGGAAGTTGCATGGAGCGTGAAGATTCAGCGGTCGCAGAACGATTTGCGGCGGTGGCTCTGCACGTTTCGCCATTTTGATGGTTTGTGAGCGGACCCCTACCAGAGAACCCGGCAGCTCCGCACACTCCGCAAATGTAAGCCATCTGCTATAAGAAGAGATGGGAGGGTGGTGGTGAGGGGCGGGCGGAGGGGAGGTGAGGAGGGAGGAGTAATGAGAGACTGCTGAGGGTGGAAGGATCCCTGAACGAAGGAGCGGGGGGAGAAGGAGGCAGTTGAGTGCACACAGCCAAGGGTATCAGGCAGAGGGAAGGCAGGGGGCTTACGAGGGCGGCACAAGCTTACGAGGGCGGCGGGTGTAAGAGATGGTGACAGGGGAAGGGTGGGAGACGGGGGAAACCGGGGGCGACGGGTGTATGAGAGGATGACAGGGAAAAGGGTGGGAGATGGATGGAAACATGGGCAAAGGGGGAAGGGGTGGGTGACGGGGAGAAACGAGGGCGACGGGGCAGGAGTAGGTGACGAGGGCGGGGGTCAAGAAAAGGCGGGGGTCAAGAAAAGGCGGGGGCGGAAGGGGAGGGCGAGAGGGGAAAGCCAGAGGCGACGGGGGAAAGCCAGAGGCGACGGGGGAAAGCGAGTGCGACGGGGGAAAGAGTGGGTGACGGGGGCAAACGAGAACGACGGGAGGAGTGGGCGGCGGGGGAAAGCGAGAGAGACGGGGAAAGGAGTGGGCGGCGGGGGAGAGTGAGAGAGACGGGGGAAAGCAATGACGATGGGGGAAAGCGAGGGCGACGGGGGAAGCAAGGACGATGGGGGAAAGTCAGAGGCGACGGGGGAAAGCGAGTGCGACGGGGGAAAGAGTGGGTGACGGGGGCAAACGAGAACGACGAGAGAAGGAGTGGGCGGCGGGGGAAAGCGAGAGAGACGGGGAAAGGAGTGGGCGGCGGGGGAGAGTGAGAGAGACGGGGGAAAGCAATGACGACGGGGGAAAGCGAGGGCGACGGGGGAAGCAAGGACGACGGGGGAAAGCCAGAGGCGACGGGGGAAAGCAATTGCGACGGGGGAAAGAGTGGGTGACGGGGGCAAACGAGAACGATGAGAGAAGGAGTGGGCGGCGGGGGAAAGTGAGAGAGACGGGGAAAGGAGTGGGCGGCGGGGGAGAGCGAGAGAGACGGGGGAAAGCAATGACGACGGGGGAAAGCGAGGGCGACGGGGGAAGCAAGGACGACGGGGGAAAGCCAGAGGCGACGGGGGAAAGCGAGTGCGACGGGGGAAAGAGTGGGTGACGGGGGCAAACGAGAACGACGGGAGAAGGAGTGGGCGGCGGGGGAAAGTGAGAGGGACGGGGAAAGGAGTGGGCGGCGGGGGAGAGTGAGAGAGACGAGGGAAAGCAATGACGACGGGGGAAAGCGAGGGCGACGGGGGAAGCAAGGACGATGGGGGAAAGTCAGAGGCGACGGGGGAAAGCAGTGCGACGGGGGAAAGAGTGGGTGACGGGGGCAAACAAGAACGACGAGAGAAGGAGTGGGCGGCGGGGGAAAGCAAGAGAGACGGGGAAAGGAGTGGGCGGCGGGGTAGAGCGAGAGAGACGGGGGAAAGCTATGACGACGGGGGAAAGCGAGGGCGACGGGGGAAGCAAGGACGACGGGGGAAAGCCAGAGGCGACGGGGGAAAGCGATTGCGACGGGGGAAAGAGTGGGTGACGGGGGCAAACGAGAACGATGAGAGAAGGAGTGGGCGGCGGGGGAAAGTGAGAGAGACGGGGAAAGGAGTGGGCGGCGGGGGAGAGCGAGAGAGACGGGGGAAAGAAATGACGACGGGGGAAAGCGAGGGCGACGAGGGAAGCAAGGACGACGGGGGAAAGCCAGAGGCGACGGGGGAAAGCGAGTGCGACGGGGGAAACAGTGGGTGACGGGGGCAAACGAGAACGACGGGAGAAGGAGTGGGCGGCGGGGGAAAGCGAGAGGGACGGGGAAAGGAGTGGGCGGCGGGGGAGAGTGAGAGAGACGAGGGAAAGCAATGACGACGGGGGAAAGCGAGGGCGACGGGGGAAGCAAGGACGATGGGGGAAAGTCAGAGGCGGCGGGGGAAAGCAAGTGCGACGGGGGAAAGAGTGGGTGACGGGGGCAAACGAGAACGACGAGAGAAGGAGTGGGCGGCGGGGGAAAGCAAGAGAGACGGGGAAAGGAGTGGGCGGCGGGGTAGAGCGAGAGAGACGGGGGAAAGCAATGACGACGGGGGAAAGCGAGGGCGACGGGGGAAGCAAGGACGACGGGGGAAAGCCAGAGGCGACGGGGGAAAGCGATTGCGACGGGGGAAAGAGTGGGTGACGGGGGCAAACGAGAACGATGAGAGAAGGAGTGGGCGGCGGGGGAAAGTGAGAGAGACGGGGAAAGGAGTGGGCGGCGGGGGAGAGCGAGAGAGACGGGGGAAAGCAATGACGACGGGGGAAAGCGAGGGCGACGGGGGAAGCAAGGACGACGGGGGAAAGCCAGAGGCGACGGGGGAAAGCGAGTGCGACGGGGGAAAGAGTGGGTGACGGGGGCAAACGAGAACGACGAGAGAAGGAGTGGGCGGCGGGGGAAAGCGAGAGGGACGGGGAAAGGAGTGGGCGGCGGGGGAGAGTGAGAGAGACGGGGGAAAGCAATGACGACGGGGGAAAGCGAGGGCGACGGGGGAAGCAAGGACAATGGGGGAAAGTCAGAGGCGACGGGGGAAAGCGAGTGCGACGGGGGAAAGAGTGGGTGACGGGGGCAAACGAGAACGACGAGAGAAGGAGTGGGCGGCGGGGGAAAGCGAGAGAGACGGGGAAAGGAGTGGGCGGCGGGGGAGAGCGAGAGAGACGGGGGAAAGCAATGACGACGGGGGAAAGCGAGGGCGACGGGGGAAGCAAGGACGACGGGGGAAAGCCAAAGGCGACGGGGGAAAGCGAGTGCGACGGGGGAAAGAGTGGATGACGGGGGCAAACGAGAACGACGGGAGAAGGAGAGGGCGGCGGGGGAAAGCGAGGGTGACGGCGGAAAGAGAGTGAGCGACGGGGGAAGGAGTGGGTGTCGGGGGCAAGCGACAGCGACGAGAGAAGACGTGGGCGGTGGACAAAAGCGAGGGCGAGGGTGTAGCTACAAATCACACCTTGTGAGATCACCGTGACTTCAAGGCAACCTTGCTGCCGAGTCGCAATAATCTTGCGGTTTAGCCGCCAACAGGGGTCGCTAGTGAAGCCTCTCCCAAAGTTCAACCCTTAAATCGCAGGTAACCGCACGGATTTGTCGCGCAAGGAAAATGCTATGGTTTGTCGGGCAAGGAATTTTCGAGTTTGGGAAAAAGCACGAATTTGGAATTTGGAATTTCAGACACAACACGTCGAGCAGAACAGAGGATGGAGTTCATTTCCCCCTTAAGCAGAACTGTCGAGAGTTTTGGGGCCAAGGCTGGGAGTCGCTGGGGCCTAAAACTCTGCCCGTTTCCCGAAAGGCTGAGACCAAAAACAGCGTTTATAAATACGGTTACAAACCGAAACGCCCCCTTGCTAAGATCTGACACATGGTGCCGTTAAAATATCAACCACTTAATACAGTGGCAGGATGGGTTATCAGATCGCAGGGAAATGCAAACATCACTTCAGTTCGCAATGAAACACTTTAAGCTAAACATCACTTTAGGCATACGGACTACCCACTCGAAACCTACCCGTGAACACTTCAAACCGACCCGCGACCAAAAATGAATGTTACAAAGCGACACGGCTGGTCAAACGCGGGTGAACGAGTGGGAATGCGCCAAATCACCAAAATGCGAATTAGCGCGACTCGCAAAAAAACGCGCAGCGATACAAAACTGCATTGACTAAATTGTGGCTGGAAACACACGTGTCAACCAACGTAATCAACCTGGTCGTGTAAGACAAAACCAACGGACGCGCTACATAGTAACATACTGCATGCACAGTATGTGAAACTATGAGCAGAGGAATGAATTGACTAAGTCAGAGTTGGGTACAAATACAACCCTAGCAAACTGTACCCCATATGTGCTACCCCACTATAGCCTACAAACATGCATCAGCTATAATAATCTGACACACCCCCATAGGCAAAGTGGGGGAGAACAAGGGGTCACAAGACCAGTCAAGCAAAGCAAAACAAGCTCAGGGTGGATCACAAAGTCACCACACAGTCCGAGCACAAGAGCAAGGCCAGAGGCCAGTTCACATGCAGGAGTAAAGACATATATATAAAACTAGACAAGCAAGAGCAGGTATATATATGTCAAAGTACAAGTAAAGTCAAGAAGAGAGCAAGTGAGGCAAGACAGGTACAAGACCCAGCTGGGTACAAAAGCGCTGATGGTCGCAAGGCGCAAGTGCCTTGGTGAACACATCAGCAGTGTTGGCCTCAGAGGCCACGTAAGCAAGTCGCAACTGACCACGCTGCTGCAGCTCACGAGCAAGGAAGTAGCGGAGAGCAATGTGCTTCGTTCTGTGCTCCAAGCGCTGCTCTCGACACAAGGCCAACATGGCCTTGTTGTCTACGTACAGCACTGGAGGAGAACGAGGCAGCTCTCCAAGGTCAGTCAGCAGGTAGGTGAGCCAGCGAAGCTCCTGTGCAGCCATGGCCCCGGCGTAGATCTCAGCCTCACAACTGGAGCCGAGAACCGAAGACGAGCGAGTAGACCGCCACGAGACAGAGCCGGAACCAAGGCTGAAGGTGTAACCCTGTGACGACCGCTGCGTAGCCTGGTCGTCAGCCCAAGAAGCGTCTGCGTGCCCAGTAAGGACCACTGGACTCCGCCCTCCAAGCACTAGCCCCATGCCCGACGTACTGCACAGGTAGCGCAATACCCTCTTCGCTGCAGCCATGTGCTCTGGTCGGTGTCTCCCAGGAGCAACATAGCGTGCAAGGATGCTCAGAGGGTATGCAAGGTCAGGTCGAGTGCAGGTCATCAGGTACATGAGGCAGCCAACAAGCTCTGCATACGGACCACTCGACTCTACGGACTCATCCGAAGGCAGAGCTGAGAGTGAGTGGCGAGTAGGCAGAGGAGTGGCCTGAGGCGAGGAGTACGTGAAGCCGAAGCGCTGAAGGACCTGCTGCACCATGTGTGACTGAGTCAGGGTAATGGTGCGGCGTGCTCTGTCCCGAGTGATCTGCAAGCCAAGGTAGCTGCGCAGTTCACCCAGGTCTGTGCACGTGTGTCTCTTCAGCAGCTCGGACTTCACGTAGGCGAGTCCAGCAGTGTCCGCTGTGGCAAAGACCAAGTCGTCGACGTACACGAGGATGTAGAACGGCGGCAGGGAAGTGTCGGTGCGAAGAAACAGCGACGGGTCAGCAGTAGAAGGAGCAAACCCAAGAGCCGCAAGCGTAGTCCTCAGTGTGTCGTGCCACTCACGCGGTGCCTGGCGGAGACCGTAGACTGGCCGTCGGAGGCTCCACTGGGTGCCAGGAGGGAAAGTCCCAGTGAAGCCAGGCGGACGGCGCAGCCAGATCTCCTCGTGCAGGCTACCCTGCAGGAACGCAGTGCTGAAGTCGAGAGAGTGAAGCTCGTAGTCGCGCTGAGCGGCAATGTGCAGCAGCACCCGAAGAGTGGTCATCTTCGGGGTGGGAGAGAAGGTCTGAAAGTAGTCAACTCCCTGCCGCTGACTGAAGCCACGAGCCACGTAACGCGCCTTGAAGACAGGCGGCGAGCCCGGCGGCCGCTTCACCCTGAAGATCCACATGCCACTGACGATGTTCGCCCCAGGAGGGGGAACCGCGTCAACGTAGGTGCCTGTGGACTTCCAGGAAGCCATCTCTGCATCCATAGCTGCCTGCCACTGAGAGGAGTAGGGACCCTCTACGGCCTCCGCGTAAGAACGCGGAGTCGGGATGTCTAGTGCATCCGGGTCTCCCTCAGGGGCTAGCAGTACAGACGCGAGACGAGGTGAAGCAGCGGCTAGACACTGGAACTCCTCCTGCCTGTCCTCTAGGACGTCCGTGCCAAGGGCACACTCACCCCCGACGGACGGAGGACAGGCGGACTCAGACTCAGCGACAAGACGAGCAGCGTAGTCTAGACGACAGCGCGCAGCAAAGTCGACAAGCTCAGTGACAAGGGCAGACGCAGCAGACGACTCGAAGGAAGGGTCAGTGACAGCAGTAGCAAGGAGACGCGTGACAGTAGGACTGGCAGCACGAAGAGAGTCCGACTCCGGGTCGGCAAGAGCAGGAAGAGAGGAAGCAGGAGGAGAAGGCAAAGGGGCACGCAGAGGAGCAGTGGACGGACGCAGTGACATCCGGTGCGTGCCAGGGACAGGAGGAGGACGCTGACGCGACCCGCGACCACTAGCGCGCTCAGTACGAACAGGCGACGCAGGACGAGACGCAGGCTCACGACGCTCAGTAAGACCTCCAGTCGGACCAGCGTAGGGAGAAGGAGCAGGCAAAGGGGAGGCAGGCTGTAGCTGTGGCTGTGACCGGACAGGCTGCGGACCCTCTAAGGAAGGAGGAGGAGGTGTAAGACCAAGAACCTGCTGCAGGAGCGGAACGAAGTACGGTCGAGGCCGCGCGGCGACGCCAGAAACAGCAGGAACAGCACCAGCACCCCCGGCAGGAGCACCCACTCCAGCAGCACCTCCAGCAGAACCACCAGAAGCTCCAGAACCTCCAGCAGCAGCACCAGGAGCACCGTCAGTCGGACCACCAACCGCAGGCTCAGCGCCAACGTCCTCAGCAGGACCAGCTCCAGGAGAACACTCAGACCCAGCAGCTCCAGCACCCACAGGACGAGCACCGCCAGGTCGCGTGGCAGCAGCGCCCTCCGCAGCCGAAGAACCACCAGCACCAGCGGCACGCCTCCAGCGCCGGGCAAACCACTCACGCAGCTCCTGTGGAGAGAGCGGCCCCCGGTGAGACGAAGCACCCCCAGGCACAGCACCTCCAGGCTCGGCACCTCCCGGCTCAGCACCCCCAGGCTCAGTACCCCCAGACACAGCACCCCCAGGCACAGCACCCCCAGGCTCAGCACCCCCAGGCTCAGCACCCCCAGGCCCAGCACCCCCAGACTCCGCACCCCCAGGCTCAGCACCCCTAGACTCCGCACCCCCAGGCTCAGCTCCCGCAGCAGCACCGGAGTCACCAGTGACCTCGACAGGCTCGACCGCGTCTACCTGAGACACACCTGAAGGGGCAGGACCCTGAGGGGGGAGGGGGACTACTGGGGGGGGACCTGGAACCAAGAAGAGGGGGGGTGGGGGGAGGGACGGAGTGCGGTAGGGGAAGAGGCGGTAGTAGGGTACCGACTCGTCGAACGTGACGTCCTGGGAGGACAGAACACGTCGAGAGGTGGGGTGGTAAAACTGCCACCCAGGGGCGTCGGGGGGGAACCCGAGGAAGACGCAGGGAGAAGCACGAGGGGACAGCTTGTCCGCAGACAGGTCGCGAACAAACGCCCGAGATCCCCAGACCCGGAACGCCGACGCATCGCCAACCTTCCCCGTCCACAACAGAGCTGGGGAGGTCTCCGGTCGAGAGACCCTGGGGTGGAGGTTGATCTGGTGCGCAGCGTACCTGACCGCAAACGGCCACAGAAAATGGGGAGCAGCCGCATGCATCATGGACGTACGAGCGACGTCCATGACCATGCCAATGCGGCGCTCAGCGATCCCATTCTGCTGTGGTGAGTCCGGAAGCGTGAAGGTCTGACGGATGCCTCGCACACGACAGTAGGTACTCAGGAGGGCCGAGGAGAACTCTCCGCCTCTGTCCGAGTGCAGACGCAAGACAGGGAAGTCAGAGCCAAAGCTTCTCCGAAGCTGAAGACGAGCTGCGCGGATCCAGTCGATCAACACCTGAGTGACCTCACCCTTGCTGCGCAAGGGGAAGACTGTGGTGTAACGCGAGTAGTCGTCAACCACTAGCAGGAAGTAGCGCTCCTGACCCTGTCCACGGACGCGGGCTGGGCCCCACACGTCCATGTGAAGCGTCTGCAACGGGGCCTCTGTCGGAGGAAACTGGGAGGAGTGAGGGGCAGCACGCTGGCGCCCCTCGACACAGGGGACACAGGCAGGGCCAGGGCCCGGAGGAAGGGGAGGGAGGGACCGGGGAAGACCAGACACAAGGACCCGCGAGGCCATGCCTCTGAGCCGAAGCAGAGAGGGGTGGCCAAGGCGGTGGTGCCAGAGGAGGGTCTCGTGAGACAGACGACGACACGAACAAGGGGCAGACTCAGGACCAGACCTGGACGCTGCAGCAAACACCTGACCAGACGAAGGGGCCCTACCAGACGCAGTACCTGGAGGAGAAGCAGTGGTCAGTGTGTACAGGCTCGACCCCGGCCGACGTGTAAACGTAGCCAGGTGGCGACCTGTATCCGCCTCCGTACAGTGGGTCACCCGCTGACGAGCAGGGGTGAACTGGTGGACACCTGCATCCTGGAGGTCAGCACCACTCACCAAGTTCGTCGAGAACGAGGGGAGGTAGAGACCAGTCAGGGTGCCAGAGGGGGCCGCCGGACACGGGAGGACAGTGGAGAAGCGAGACAGGACAGGCCCCCCAGAGGGGTCCGCCAG